ACTAGTTACAATGTTTTTCCTCTTTGCAGGAAAGTCATTGAGTGGTACACTTATTCTAAGTGTAATTTTCTGCGTGCATATTATACCAGAAAATATTTATATGATAAATGTGGGAGTAAAGTAGTCTACCAATAAGATTAAATGCATTACTTTGATGTTCTACATGCATTATTTAGAGGTTGGCCAATGATTTAAAACACTAAGATTTCTTGTAGCTATTAGGAAAGAAAGAGAAGTTGTCTGTTACACATTCATGTCTTGTATATGTATATAAATCCACTGACTAGAAATAATTCACTAAAATAAAACTCATATTTTTCATAGAAGTCTTCACAAAAAAGACATTTTAGACATAACAATGTTCTTGACAACAACTTTAAAAAAACCCTCTGTGACTGTTCTGACAGACATTCCATGTGGGCTGATGGAATCCTCCAAAAGCATAGGTGAGTGAACATCAACAAGGGATAGGATAGTGTGAAGCAATGCCATCTACATATTCAATTGCTTCCTGGTTATATGAAATGACAAAGCAGTTCAAGAGTGGATATGCGTCACAGAATCTGTCCTTGAAAACTTTGTCTCTCAACAGAGCTTCTGACTGAATAGTCATCCGTAAGGTTAAGATAGTATCTTCTGATGAATGTGGGAGGGACATCTATTCTTTGCTGTCATTTGAATATGAAGCCAGTTTAGCTAGGGAGGAGATAATAACCGTCCCTGAATGCTGAGAAGTCCACTCAAGACTAGTACCTAAAAAGATGATCGTCCTAAAGCTAACTTTATTATAAACACCTACTATAGATCTCTTAAGTATTTTCCTTAGAAATGGTATTGATTCTGCTCCAAAGAAATATAACTAATGTTATATCAGAATCCCAATCCAAAGTTCTATTACATATAGCACAACAAGAGTTTTAACCAAAAATTTAACCACTATATTTGATTATAGTCAAGGTATAAACATTCTAAACATTCTAATGAGGCACACTCAAGTAAAGAATAACAAAAGTCAATGAATTTAAAGTTGTTTAAAAGATTGTATTAGCTATCCTTCTGCAACATTTCACATATCTGCATTTCATTCACCAGGTTCAAACATAGGAGTATACAGTTTTTCTGACTACTAGCAATCAGAATATTAAGTTCAGACCATTAAAGTTCAGTCACTTAAGTCTATGGGCGTCTGTTGTTATTTAAAAACATGTTGACTTTCTCAGTTCACAATAGTATTGAGCGAGGTAGGATAGGGAATACAAAGAACTGCTAAACACAGAGCGCTGGTAGAAATAGCTAACTTGGTAGGAAAAATCAGCAAAATACAAAAGCAGACAACTACAAACACACAATCTTCTAGAACCATGTAGCAAAAAGCTCTATGTACCTTAAGAGTCTCCAAGGACATTCACTGTACAGGGCAGATTGACAGAAACAGATTCAGAATAAAGTTATTAATGAGGATAATATTAGTTTTGTAGAGTCTTTCTAAGAAACATAAGGATATATGCAATACTTGTTTCAGAAGCAACTTATCCAAAATATTTTAAATATTGTTTACTGTGGTTTAAATTTAAATACTGAAATTACAAGTGTCAGTTATATAAAAGACTGTACTCCACAATAAATTCTGAATACAGCACTACAGTTGTTGGGAGAATTTTAAACTTGACGCAAACATTAGTTACAAGGAAAACATGAGCATGACTACAGAAAAAAGTTATCTTACTGTTATTTGAAGACATTCAAGCTATGAAATAATATCTTGATCTACAGAAAACTAAGGATAACCATTACATTTTATTAAAAGTACTTTCATTTTTAAATCATCATTTGTTTCCACCCTGCATAGCTCATCACACTATCTCCTTAAATTGCTCTTGTTAGTCCCTTCTATCCATAACACAGAAAATTATGACCGTGGAGTGGGGAGTTTCTCTTAAAGTATTGATTTACGAGTTTAACAAATTTTTACAATGCTTGTGCATATATATATTTAAACATATGCATTTTAAAAGTTCTTACAAAACAATGTTAGCCCATAGAAAGAGACTTTGGATTTTAGTTCTTTTTGTCAACAGAACTAAAATCAATGTAATACATAAACTTTTCAATAAACCACGGAGCTTAAAAATGACAAAAATGACTAGTACCTGATTACCCATGAATGAAAAATGCAGGTTTAGAAAAACATTAACAATTTAATTTTTCAAAATTCCAAATGCTAGAGAAAAGCAAGGAAAATACTAGTTGATGCACTTAGCAAAATCTGTCCATGAATATTTTTGAGTTGAGTGTGGAATATTTTGAGGCCTCAAATGACCTACTTTCTCTCTACCACAACCTGTGAAAAGTGTGATAAAACAGTAGTGATTTGTTAAGAAAATACCAAAATGTTTTTAGTCTACAAAATATAAAGTTCACTGGAAAAAAAACTGATGGAAATAATTACATACACAATCACAATGAACCAAAATTCAACTCCTACCTAACCAAATAACCCACTTCCAAAGTTCAAAGTATAAGAATAATGTTATTTTCAAAGACTTTAAACCTAAAGAATTTAGTTATAGAATAAGTTTTTAAACCTAAACTAAGAGTATACCTAGGTGTTTAAAATGTTGGCATTACTGTGTAAGTATTTACAGATAATACTAGAATGACATGGAGGAAGGTGTTTTGGTTTGGTTTTGTAAACTGATTATTTATACAACGGTCAGCAGAGAATCACCAAATGGAAAACACACTTCAAAATGATTTTTTGTGTACAGACAAAAATGCACATCCCTCATCTGGATACCATTAAACATGTCTACCACTATTCTGCTCATATTTAGAGAAACTTGAAATCGAATATGAACACATTTGCTTGAAGTTATTATTAATTTTAGAGCTATAGTTGAAGGTTACCAATAATCTCTAGTTCACAATTATTTTACAAACAAGGAAACTGGAAAAAATGAAGGTTGCATGGCTAGTTAAAGACAAATTTAGAAACCAATTACATTTCCACTATGTCCCAACCTAAAGATGAGATCACCTCTTATTTAATATAATATTTTAAAACTAATTCATTTAGAGTCATGGCTTTTAGTAATTCTGATGGGCAGAGAAAAGCATCAGAAATTCATAAACATCGATTTGTTCATTTTGCTGAATTTGAGGTAGGGCTACTTAAAACATAAAATGGCTAATTTATATGCACCATCAACTACTTGGACATGAAAAACCACCTTAGTAATACTATACACATAAATACACAAGTGGAAATCCAAGTCAGAGGGAAATTTATTTAGCTATTATGTGTAATACATAACTACAGTCAGCATTTATATTAATTTCACAAAATAATAAGCAAATAAAAATAACAAAAATTCAGCTAGCCCAAACAGTTGTTCTCCCAGTCAGTGTGATATCGCTAAAAGTTCTTAAACTATAATTTAAATAAGTTGACATACAAGCCCCATTATTTTCCTAAATGGCCACTCATAAGGGAGTATATGAACACTAAGTAACCTAAAACCACACATGACACAAATGGAGAAGCAAAAGAAATAGTACCCACAACCAACAATAATCCTATATATTTTTAAAAAGTCTTAGCAAAAGACAGACAAGGTAAAGCTTAAGTTTAATAGAATATTTATGAAATTCATTCCATATTTAGAAGCACTAAATATGTTGAGGCCAGTTTTAAATCATCCTTTTAAGAATATTCATTTTAGTATTTGTAAAATAAAGGTAAGAAAATCAGTCTTGCTTATTATTCTGTTTGCTTAAGATTTGCCTAGATTTTTAAAAAATTAATACAACCTATCTTCCTCAAAAGGTTGTATCCTAGATAGAACACATGGTAAATTAAACAGATTTCATATCATTTTTTACTAATAACAGCTCAAATTGCCATAACTCTCAGTGAGGCAGTCTTCTTACCAGACAGGTGAACATTTGTACCAGTCCAAATTAAAAAAAAAAAAAAAAGTCACTTAAAGTCATTGACTATGTCATAGTATATATATCTGTATTTCACTTAAGATGCCAGACACATCTATACACAAGAAAAAAAACAGAGATGCTAATGGCAAAGGAGGAAAAGATTTCATCATTCTCTGATTCTTAGGGGATTATCCATGGCTGAGGATGAGGGATGTGATGGAACAAAGTAATGTTGAATGACTAATGGTTCAGAGAATTTCCTAAGAAATCGATGGCAATTACTTCAAATTTTTAACGACCACAAATAAAACTAAAAGAAAAAAGTCAGCATGTTAAAATAAATGAGTTATTTCTGAATCCTAAGCTTATACGTAGTAATTAGGCCTGCGCTGTTCCTATATTTTCTATAGTGAGGAATACCACACGTATAATTAGAAAACACTGAAGGAAAGGCTGACCTCGGAACAAATCATTGCCACGGAGACTAGGTATCCTTCATGTCCCACTCAGTAACTGCAGAAGCAGCACTAGCACTGCGCTTGAAAAGGAGAGAGACACACAGACTGGCACACAGTGGCTGCCATGTAGCAGGCACTCAATACCGGTGGGATGAAAGGACTGAGTAAATATGTAAACAAGCCAAAACAAAACCAAAATGAGCCGATTCCGAGGCAACACAGTATAATCACAGTAACGACGCGTTTACCAAAAGCCAGCTGACAGCTTAATGCGCCCTAAATGAAAGAGCTCTTCCTCCTGCCCTCCTCTTTTACTCTGACACAAGATTGCACATTCAAAACAAATCCTCCCCCAGCCCCGCCCCAAGCCCTACCCTCAGCTGCCACCAGCCCTGGAACTGACGAAAAGTCCGGGCCTCAGCGGTGCCCAGATCCGGACTCCTCTCAGGGCGCCCGAGCCCGCGGACACGCCCGGGGTGCTGGGGTCGCGGCGCCCAGACCCAGTCCCCTGTCGCCGGGACCCCCAGGCATTCGCGCGTTCCACAAAACCCTCAGCCCGCGGCGCCCGCGGCCCCCTTCCCTCGCGGCGAGCGGCGGGCCGCGCCGTACCTGCACACGGTGATCAGGTTCTTCCTCTCCACCGCAGCGTTTCGTGCGCTCAGGTTCTTCTTGCCGCCGGCGCGGCTCCCGCTCAGGCCCCCCAGGCTCCGGGTGGCCATGGCGGGCTGACCCCTGCGCCCCTTTTGTCTGGTGACACCTCCGTCACCCCCCACACCTGCTTCCTCCGGCGTTCGCCCGGTGCGCAACTGTGAGGGCACTGGAGGCTGCCGGAGAGGACCGGGGGTGCAGGGGCGATGTGGAAGACGGCAGGGAACTCGCACCCGGGGAGCGACGGCTCGCGTTTCTCACCCGCGCTCCACACATACCCGCGCGCACACACGCACGCACCACCCCCGCCCCCGCGTGCGCCGTCGGCCGCCGGGCGGCGCGTGCGGGCTGGCGTCTGGCGCTCCGCTACTTCCCGAGGGACTTCGGCCGCCGAGCGCGCGCGTGCCCGCAGGCCCCGCAAGCCCAACCACCCACGTTTGGCCGCCACTCCACCCCGGCAGCCGCAGCTGCGGTGAGGCCACGAGCCTCGCGCTCGCAGTCCCGCCTTCCCTACACCTTGGGGCAACACCGCCCCGTCTGGAGCCAATCGTGGCGCGTGAGGGGCGGCGCCAGCCGTGGGCACCTTATAAGCAGCGTGCACCGAGCTCCGCCCCGGCGCGTGGGCAGCTGTCAAGATGCCTGGCTCGCGGCCGCCACCAGGGTGCCGCGGGCAGTCGGCAGCCAGGGCAGGAGCGCCGTGGTTTGCCTCGGGATTGTGGGATGAGGTGGTAGTGCGTGTCGGGGGGCTGGAGAACCAGGGGGCCCAGGTGAGCCCCGTGCGGATGACCGACCCTGGCTTGGTGCCCAGGTTTAACGGCTCGGATCTCTATCGGGACTGATCATTTTCCCGGAAACCGACACCCAGTTTCTGTGGCATCGGTAGCTGCAAGTACCTAGAATGCAGCAACTGGGGCTCCCACTCCCGATCCAGGATCTGACTCCCAGGAAGGAAGGCGGGTTCCCTTTGTTCTAACGCTCTCCCCAAGCTTGATAAATTACAGCGACACAACAACCCTTAATTTCCCAGGACAGCCTGGAGCGGACTGACTGCCTCGGTAATGAGACTCAAGATGCCTGTGTGGTCTTCTCCCTGCGCCCTTCTCCAGTCCTGAGCAATGACCCGGTATTAGGTGGGTGGTTGTAAGCTTAGGGGTTTAATCGTCCTTGGGCCCTGCTCCGTTGCTCCCTGAGAACCACTGGGAGTGGCGCCCGTGCCGCGTGGGTTCGGAAAGTGGCATCCACTTTATAGAGATTCATCACCACCCCTCCAGCTTAACCTTCCAGAAGGTCCAGGCTTCCCTGAGCCAGCCGGTGTTCTCTGGCACTTCACTTCCCTTTGCATCAGTAAGTCCAGCTTTTAGAGTGAAATCCTTAGTAACTGCTGTCCCTTTTAGGCCTAACATGGTGGTGAGCATAAAACAGGTTTTTGGTAAATGTTCATTGAATTTAACTTGAAGTCACAATTGGCATGATTTGGTTGAAAGTTTGCAGTTAAGTTTTTGGTAGCTTCAAAATCCATATAAATTCCACTTACAGTTTTGAAGTTTCTGTCAAAGAAGAATATGATAAAATACACTGTGCAGTTCAGGTAAGATATCTCTATACTTCTTGTGTAAAGTACAAAATACTATAGGAAGTACAGTTCTATATTGAAAGCCTTCTAAATACAAGACTTTGCATAATAAAGTTGTAGATTACTAATTTCTGAGATACAACTTTTTTTTTAATCATCAGGGCAAGGACTTTTCAGCCACTAGGTATAGTCATAGTACAATAAAATATGTATAGAAAAAATTGTCTTAATTCCTTCACTACAATTGATAGTCACACATTTAAATTGTAAGAAAATAATCTAGATGATCTGTAAACTTTGTCTTTCACATTAATAAAAATCAGGAGGATTTTCTAGGTCAGTGCTTTGTTTCCACACATTTGTCTTCTCCATAGTGACATACATCTATTTGCCCTCCTAAAAAGCTACAGCTTACCATGTCCTGTATATCACTTACTGCTAGCCCAATAGTTTGAATTCTGAAGTAACCATCAAAAAACATATGATACTCATGAATGACATATACTACTCAAACTGCAATTGTTTAAAACAGATGAAAACTGCATTGGGAAAAGAGTGAAAAGTCATCAATTAAAAATTCCGAGACACCCATGCTGGTTTGTCCTAAGGGAGAGCGAGCACATATATACTTAGAAGACAAAACTGAGAAATCACATCAAATGGAGAAAAGTTAGGTATTATTATTCTCAAAATTGGTTTTCTATCTCAAGTACATTTCCATATCACTTATACTATGATGTTTTATCTATGAAAAGTTAGTAAAACTGCATCTTAGGTGATTAAGTAATAATATTAGTTTTCAAGTGCTACTTTTAGGGACATTCAGTTGACATTAGTACTTGCTGAACAAGATTTCACAATAATGCAAACCATTTTTTACATGTACAGTGACTCATTAAACTGCCACATGGGGGCCTTATTTGATAATGCTTTTTCTTAACCATCTTGAGCAGTATGCCCTGGATCTCATTCTTTCTCTAGATTACTAATCTGGAGATTGTTAATCATTTATAACCAGTACAAAGTATACTACTACTAGAGAGCCACATGAGTTTCGTGTTATTTTTTGTACTTCTTTTGGTGGCACCTACTGCAATTCTTTATTTGAGCATTACACAAAGGTTATTCAGAGGTGAAAAAAAAGTCTGCTTTGTATTAAAATAATGAAAACACTGGCAGTCTAATATAAACTATGAAGATTCTGTAGACCTTAATTGGTAGACCCATTTTCCCAACTTTATCCTCCCCATCAAAAAAAAGACACAATTACAACTATAACATATAAAATATCTTCAAATCTAAAATGCTATAAGCCAGAGAGATTACCAAACCATTGTTTATTTTAATCTCAGAGTAGACTTTCTAATAAGCCTCAAACCCAACAGCTGTATAGAAAAGATTGATGAGATTGAAGACACAAGTTTTTTTAATCCACAAAGTAATCTTAATCAGAAGCAAAATCAAAAGAAAAATGATACATATGGACATAAATTTCCTTTATATACATGGTACTCCCATAAATCAATAAGTACTATTTCAGTAGAACAATGAAGATGGAAGGCAAAAAGAAGGAAGCAAAAGAGTTAGTGGGAAGAGAGGGTCACACAACTCTTTTAAGAAATTGTGAAGGGGGACAAAAAGAGAGGAGTGGCAGAGGGGAATGTTGAGTAGGGGAAAGTTGGTATTTTATCCCTGTTACTGTATTGTTAACTTTTCACAGAATAGACTTGAGCACAATTTAAAGCTGATGAAATGACTTTACTAGATGGAAAAGGTTAGTAATGCAAGAGGCGGGAGGTGGAATGATCAAAAGTGAAGAATGCAGAAAAGTATTGGGATCCAAAGCACAGATGGATCACTGAACTTTAGTTAAAGATACCAATTCTCAAATGTAACTAGAGACAAGGTTTGGAGTTGAACTGCTATTATTAGGGAATTGAACAAGTTCCCATCTGATAGCTTCTGCTTTGACTGAAAAAATAAAAATCGCCAGCAGCAAGATTCAAAGTCCTTTTTATAGTGAGTATTGGAATAACTTGACTAATGAAATTTAGAACTCCTTGTGAGTTTTTGAGGATCCACTTGAGAAGGGAAATGATGAATTTATAATTGTGTCACTTTCTTGGACGTTGTCAGTGTCTTAAACATAGCAGTCATAGCAAAATACTAAAGCCTAAGTGGTTTAAACAACCGATTTATTTTTTCACAGTTCTAAAGGCTGGGAAGTCCAAGATCAAAATGCCAGTTGATTTGCTTCCAGTTGATAACTCTATTCCTGCCTTATTGGTAGCCTTCATCTCCACATGCTCACATGTCTTCTTTGCATGTAGGGGATTGTGTGAGGGATGGGAGAGAGAACTCTATCATGTCTCTTCTTATCAAGGTACCAAAGCCATCAGTAAGGCCTAACCTCATGATACCATCCAACACTAATTACCTCCCAAAGGCTCCATCTTCAAATACCATCACATTGAGTGTTATGGCTTCAATTATGAATTTTGGGACTAAATTTCATTAGTCAAGTTATTCTAATACTCACTATAAAAAGGTCTGTTTGAATCTTGCAGCTGGTGATTTTTATTTTTTCAGTCAAAGCAGAAGCTATCAGATGGGAACTTGCTTAGGTCAAGCATTCCATCCAGAATAGTTAGACTGTTGGTATGTGGATAATAAGGAAGATGTTTATTTCATGCAGGATTGGGATTTTATGAGAGGGTGAAAGGAAAGGGCAAATACAAAAAGTTTGGGATATTAACAAGAGGTGACTCTAGTAGCATTTTCAGTTGGTTTGAAATGAAGAAAAAATAAGTTATGGATTGGAGTAACAAAGAGGGATGATCTGTTGAGTTTAAAGAATAATCATAATAGATACAGTTAAACAAGCAAGCTAGGAATGGCCATTGATGACTGTGGTCAGAAAATGATGTGTTTGAATTAGCACTTTTGGAAATTGAACTGTTATGTGTGATGACAACATCCAAGATCTAATATGGTAATATGTGATAATGAGGAGTAGAAGGATAGGTTTGATGATAGAAGGAGGTTTAAAAAAAAATCAGAAGTCAGGGTGTTGAATGGCCAGTTATGTTATTATGAAGTGTCCCAGAATTATGGCAGAATATAGAGTACACAGTAGCTGCTGTTTTATCTTTAGTAATTTAGGGACAATAAGAGGGAGACTGCTAGATGGCAATACTTTCAAATTACTTAAGATACAAGGACTGAGAATAAATTTTGTTGGTTTGCTTGATTTTTTACAAAAGATGGGGAAATAATAGTCTAGAGATGGCAACAGAAACCAGGAGGATACTATTCCTCTGGTCCTGAGGTATGAAAGGGGTGAAAATACTTAAAACAAAACAAAACAAAAACATCCGTTTGAGAGTACAACAAGGGAAGCAGAGTCCTCGGGAGAAATCCAGATTTCCGTTGAGGAAATTGGGTGGAGGGACCATTCAAAAGAAGGGGAGGATTTAAGGAAATAGTGCCCAGAGAGCCAAAGTTCCAGAGGACATCATGGAAGGGAGTGGCGACAAAGTCAAGGGCATGGCAGTGCAAAGCATTTTGGTAGGTAGTATACAGATGGTGAGAAGGGCCTTACAGGCTATGTTGAAGAAGTACCTTGACAGGTCTCACAAATTGTTCTTTGTAAAGTGGCTTACTCTTTGAATAAGGGTTGACCAAAATAAGATGGATTTTGTACTCCAGCTTTTTTTTTAAAGTGTTCTTAGCTTAGAGAGCTTTTCTTTTTTTTATCTTGGAGAAAGACATTAAGCCAAAAATGCAGACGATAGACAGTGCATGAGTTCTATTAATTAATCTTCACAGCCATTCTCTGAAGTAGGTATGGTTATATTCTCCCATTTGCAAGCAAGGAAACAGAGACTTA